GCATGAAATTCGTGCAAGGGGGTGGGGTGGTCCTCCGCCTGGCCTGTACCTCTCCAATCTGGGACCCCTTGGGTGATGTCAGTCAGACATCCCTCTCACAATCCAGAACTGCTGGCTCCTAACCACTTGCCTGCCTGCCTGCCTGATTGCCCCTAACTGCTTCTGCCTGCCAGCCTGATTGACACCTAACTGCTCCCTTGCTGGCCTGATCGCTCCCAACTGCCCTCCCCTGCTGACCCATTGCCCCCAACTGCACTCCCCTGCCAGCCTGATCGCCCGAACTGCCCTCCCCTGCCAGCCTGGTCACCCCCAGCTGCCCTCCCCTGCCGACCCATTGCCCCCAACTGCACTCCCCTGCCAGCCTGATCACCCACAACTGCCCATCTTGTGGCGATGTGAGAGCAGCCACCTTGTGGCGGCCATCTTGTGGTGGCCATCTTGTGATGATGTGAGGGCGTCGCACGAGGGCACGAGGACCACCTAGGCTTTTATTAGTATAGATATTTCAGAGAGGAAGGGAGAGGGACAGAGAGATAGAAACATCAGTGATGAGAAAGAATCATTGATCGGCTGCCTCCTGCATGCCCACTACTGGGGATCGAGCCCACAACCCAGGCATGTGCCCTTGATCAGAATCGAACCCAGGACTCTTCAGTCTGCAGGCCAACACTCTATCCACTGAGCCAAACCAGCTAGGGCTCCATATTTTTTTAATGAACACACACACATTCAGATGGAAGCTAAAGGTTTGAATTTTCATTCATCCTTGAGCAGTAAATCGTTAGAGCCAAGGGAACTTTGGAGCAGCTTTTTCAGATCACGCTACAGATGATGTGAAACCTGAAGGCACTTCAGAAAAAGGGAGGTGTCTTAGACGGTGGGCAATCTTTCCACCAGTCCTGATTCACTAGAAGCAAAAATAGTGTTGTTTTCTCATCCCACCTTTCGACTATTGCCTTCATTCAGCTGTTCTCTTTTGCCTTCAAACAGAAGAGATGAGGACAGAAATTGGAGCAATGAAGGAGAAACTCTTGCTCATTTCCCCAGATGCTCAGATTTTCCTCTTTCCTGGTCACTCAAAGGAACCCAGCCCTGGTTGGTGTCAGAAGCTTACAGAACTTCATCACCCGTGGCCAGCAGAGTTGGCTAGGATTACAGATACTAATTATTTTGTTGAGCATCTACTATGAACCCAAGTATAGTACATATGTCAACACTACTTGCACTGCATTGAATTGACAAACAGAAGGTAATATTGTTGTATCCCTTTACAGATGAAAGCACAGGTTCAGGCCAGTTAAGTAACTCACTTAAGGTCACAGTGGGTTGTGTCTGTGGGACTGAGTTCATACAGTCAGTCAGTTAGGGCATGAATTGGATCTTTTCATTTCGAATCATTATGCTCTTCATCACATTGTTCTGCCTTTCAGTCTTTGGATTGGAGGCAAGTGTAAAAAATTTCAGCCTAGAAAAAAGCATTTTGGGGCCAGGGTAAAAGCAACAATGAAATGAGAGTTTAAAGGAACCATCTTCAGCTGTTGGCTTTTCCTCCCTAATGATAACATCAGCAAATATAGTTAAATACCCAGTACACAGAAGCAATGTTTGCATTAGTAATTCAGAGATGTGCACAATTAAAGATGAAACAACTAGTCCCTAATACAGTCTAGTACGGCTCCTCCAAAATAAAACAAGTGATTGGATGCCAGATACTTAAATATCTGTGAGACTTAACAACTCGATTCACAATCTTTTTGCATTTTGGTGACTTACATATCCAAATTTTATAACAGTGAGTTCCAAAGGAATGCTCATATTTCTTTATTTCATTGGAATTTAGAGGTGCTTAACAATTGGACCATAACTGGGAGGTTGGGAATAGATGACTTGAGGAGGTATTTCTTGCAACCTGGATCAGTAAGTAGGGATCTTGCCACCATCTCTTTTCTGTGAGTTCTGTTACCAGTTCTCATATAAGCAGCGTTTCCACACCTTTGAGGTACAGGGATAACTGACATGCTCTGCCATGATGTTAACAGGCCCCTTAAGATCCTAAAAGTGCCTCTAAATCATCAAAGGAAGAATACATTACGTTGAGCATAGCTTTATTATTCAGGGGATCTTATCCAATTCAGACTCTAAAAGAAAAGAACGACTCATGTGTAGGTGACCCATTAAAGTCAGCATGTGGCTATCCAGAAGCTCCCCCCCTCCCAGCCCCCTTCTCTGAACACGCCAAATCCATAGTGTTCCAAAAGCCTCCATAGCATTCTGGAGCAAACTGGTTATTTTCACACCCAGTGGTCATTTCTCAGCTGAAATTTTTATCTTTTCCATACCAATGACACCTTGGATCAGATGTCAATGGATTGTATAGGCAGAGGCAAGTGTTGTCATTTGCATCATCAGAATAGTAATAAAAACTACAGATTTTCTGGCTGTGCTGGAGAGTGACAATCTGACCATGGATGTTGAGAGAGCAGAGGAGTTACTTTGAGGAAATGTGACTGTTAATTGACTCTGTGATAAAAAGGTGGGAGACTGTGAAAACCCACCTTGGATGGCTCACAGGTGGTACCTGACTCCTGCTCTGACATCGCTTATTTCTTTTTTATGTTTAGTCCATTCACTCTTGCCCTTTTCTTCTATTGCTATAAGAGATTCCTCCCTCTACATCTCTCCTCTCACCCCTCTGCACCCACAGGTCTCACCGGCCCCTCCTCTTCTCAGTTCTCTCTTGTCTGCTGGACCATGTCCTTGGCAGCTGAATAGATGGAAGGTAGAGGGAACAGGAGAGCCCTGGGAACCCCTGTACTGCTACCCTCTTCCCCAGCCTCACTTCCTAGGCCCTGAGCTCCTCAGATGTGATAAGGCCCATGTGAATGCCTACCTGGTACCCAGCACATCTTAGGTACTGAAGGAATGTCATTCAGTGAATAAGTAAGGGCAAGTGAACCTAGTAGTGGTGGCCCCTTTTCTTTTCCCTTCTCCTTTGCCTCCTTTCTCCAGTCCCTTTTGGCAATTGATCAATTATGACTAAGAAGAACAGGAAAATTCTCTCTCTGCTAATAACACAAGTGCTTCTCCCTTTCAGGTACCTCATCTCATCCCATTCTCCCTCCACACAGTTCTGACCTGGTGAAGGCAAGGTCAGGGGAGGGATGGAGAAAGGGCCAAACAAAGTCCCCAGTCTGGCCTGGCCAGTGTAGCTCAGTGGTTGAGTGTTGACCTATGAACCAGGAGGTCACAGTTGAATTTCCAGTCAGGGCACCTGCCTGGGTTATGGGCTCCATCCCTAATAAGGGGTGTGCAGGAGGCAGCCAATCGATGATTCTCTCTCATTATTGATGTTTCTATCTCTTTCTCCCTCTCCCTTCCTCTATGAAATCAATGAAAATATATTAAAAACAAAACACAAAACGCAGTCTGCATTATCATACCCAGTCCGTCCCCTTATTGTTCCTCAGGTCCCCCACCCCTTCTCCATTCCCACCCTTGTCTTCCCTACTCCTGTCCTCTTCACAAACACCCCTGCACCCCTTTCCTCCCTTCTTCCTCTTCCCCACCACCTGACCACCACCAGTGCCCATGGGTTGGGAAGTGGAGACTGTGTTAAAAGCCTGGCCAATCAGAAGACAGGAAGCATTTTAGAGGCTCCCTCAGGGGTCAGGTTTTAAATGCTCTCAAAATCAGGTCTGACAAGCCCAGAAAAAAATAGTGATATATTTCTAAGAAACCAAGCTGGGAGACAGACAGTGGAAGCTGTGTTTTTCTGACTCAGGGGTAGATATTCTCCCACATGCTCTTGACCCATGCCTAGGCCAGGGTCCTGTGTGCTGGCCCCTCTAAGTGGGTTGTGGGATATGGGCGAAGGGAGCTCCCTGTCTGGAGCTCTCCAGGGCTGTGATTTTTCAGGTCAGACACTGAAGGACAAGCCGGAAATAAACTCTGGAGCTGTCTCTGCCTTTGACTAGGTGTCAAAAGCAGACATGCTACTGCCGTGTTGCAAAAACAGCTCACACTGTTGCCAGGCTGGCTGTCCACCGGTGCACTGTCCCCACAGCTGGGCCATCAGTGGAGCCAGCTCCATGATGAAGAGGACTGTGGCAGTGCATCCTCCAGCCGCTGGACTGGATGCCATTCAGATTGCCTAGGTCCGTGGTTGGCAAACGGCGGCTCGCGAGCCACATGTGGCTCTTTGGCCCCTTGAGTATGGCTCTTCCACAAAATACCACGTGCGGGCGCACACATACAGCGCAATTGAAACTTCGTGGCCCATGCCCAGAAGTTGGTATTTTGTGGAAGAGCTGGTATTTTGTGGAAGAGCCACACTCAAGGGGCCAAAGAGCTGCATGTGGCTTGCGAGCTGCAGTTTGCCAAGCCGCAGTTTGCCGACCACTGGCCTAGGTCCACATGGCACCTGAGCTTGGGTTTGGTTAGAAAATTAGCCATCTTCTTGAAGGAAGCTAATTTACATTTGAATCTGCCTTTTTATCAACAATGTGGGTAGAGACCTAGAAAGACAGCTGGAAAATATGTAGAGTAGGGAGAGAAAGCTGACATACTGGATGATAGAGAAGGAAGGGAAAATTGTAGACCCACTAGTCATATGGGATGACTGCCCTGGGGAAGACCAGCTAATTCCTCTCATTGAGTGTAATTTGTTTTCAATCCAGACAGACATAGAGCTCTGAGAACTTCAAATGAACTCTTATATCCCTGAATGTAGATGTTTCTGGTCATGATCTGAGAGCCAAGCGTTGGTGTCAGGCCACCCTAGGACCATGGCCACCTTTGGGTTGCAAGTTTATCTCAGCTGATCAGGAGAGAGAGGGGGCTTTATCCATATGTTATAAAACATGGTTGCCTCTGCAATGACACATTTTAGGGGACCTCTCTCAAATGGACTAGGGATGTGGCAGGCACCTGTCCAGACATCGCCTTCCCAACTTAGATGGGCAGGTATATTACATTTGCTGTTATCTCTGCTTTTTTCATAGATATGTGGAACTGACCAACTACTGCGATTATAAAGACTACAGGGAAACTATACTGAGCAAACCGATGCTGTTCTTTATTAATGTACAGACCAGAAAAGACATCTCAAAAGGTTGGTATCTAACTGTTTTGGTTTGGTTCTGCCTTGCTGGGCTGTGGACTGTGGCATGCTGATGTCAGAAATTGGGTAGGGGGAAAGCAGAGTGAATGTCGGCCTGTGACAAGGTTGGAGCCAGAAGCCCGGTGTGTCAGGCCATCTGAAGCACAGCACGAGCCTGCAGATCAAACCTCTGCATAAGCCTGGGGCAGTAGCCATCTGTCTGAGTTTTCCTTCATACTTTCTGTCAAGGCAGGAAGTGATTTTACATTCTGAGCCTGCAGGGGTTGCAAAAATGACTGAAATGATGAAGATGAGGGTATGTAATACTGTCTACCACGTGAGACACTTAGGTGTTCTGGGTCTGCTCTAGCGTCAATTGGTACAACAGCTCCACGGGGCTTTTCATTCAAACGGGAACATTTTTGGACATGAAAGTGGTACTGTGAACAATTCTTCTGGGACTGACTCAGGCAAATTAGGATGCATGGTCATCCTACCTGAGGTACTTGTACTGTCCCCATTTTATAGATGACAAAACTGAGATAAAGAAAATAATACCTGTAGATGCTTTTATGTTTCATGCTATGATATTTGAATTTCAGTTTTAGAAATGTCTCTTTATGGTTTCTTCCAAGAAATCAGACTGGCTGTTAACAGCCATATTAACACAAGTTCCAATATGAAAATATCTCCATTCTCCCTTCTTCCTCCTGCCAGAGAGGGGAAATCATGGACATAATGATAGAAATAGAATTTTTGAAATTTATTGCAAAACAGCATTTTTAAAGTTATTCCAAGGTAACAAGAAAGGATCTACAAGTTCCAAAGAAACTTCTTTAAACATTCAGTCTCATCCAGATTCCTGGAGCGGATGCTCTGCTCATTTCAATCCAGAGTCATTCAGATTTTCTTTCACTTCTTAATTCAGAGTCGGAATCTTCTGGGCAGGAAGGGCCAGAACACACAGTAACTAGCAACACTCATAGAGCATCTGAGCCCCTGATGTTATTTGGCTTGATGATGGCCATGAATCCAGAGAGTTCTCTAGGGATATAATTCACAGATGTATTAGGTACACCTCCTGGTTCATCTCTCGGAAGGAATCGTAAGAATAAGAGGTCTATCTATTTTAACATTTTAATGAAAGTGCAGGGAGTGGGACAAGGAGGTACTTGTGGGTGGCCTACAAAAGGTACACAGTTTGTAACTATTGTGGAAGGAGGCACAGAAACCCAGTGCTGGTTCATTGTAAGGAAAGCCATGATATGAAGAGAGAGTCTATGCTACAAAAGCTTAAGTAAGATGGTGAAGTTTAAATTGTGAACATTGTGATTAAGGTAACATGATGTCCGGCCCAGCTGCTATCCTAAACTGTACTTTTGTTTAAATTAGAAAAAGCCACCATTAACTCAAGACAATTTAATAATTCTTCCCAGAATTTTTCATAATACATACACAAATAGATTTGTGACTGTGAATAGTCTCCTTCAGATTGTGCAGTGAACAACCTATGCAATCAGTATAGCTGTGAAGTATGCCGGCCCTGAGAATGCACAAAGGTCCTGGTTTGCTTTGTGTAAAAGTTAATTTAAGGTATAAAATAGCTTGCTTGTTTTACTTGTTTTGTTATGTCTGATCTTAAAGAAGATATATCTAAAATGCCCAAAAATAATTTAGGAGAAAGATAGGGGTAGGAAAATTAAGATGAATAAGGTGAGTGCAAAGGTTAGTTCAAAATGTGTTCCTCAAGGATGTAACGTGCTATTGGTGGGCCATAGGTTTAATGCTCAAAGCCAAGGAAAAATGTTGAGTTCTCAAAATTACCTAATGGCTGGCCCATGGTGTTTAAACAAAGGCTGGCAATCTATGTTATGTGTCTACCCAGAAAAAGCACTTCAGTAATTAAGGGGTTTCTGGGGGCTGAAAAGTTAAGGGGTTGTTGGTTAATAGTATTTCAAATTTACTAATGAGTAGACAATCTTCTTTTTGCTTAGATTATATAGAATTGGATAGAATTGGATTTAAGAGATTACAAAAACAAAAAATAACAACAACAACAACAACAAAAAAACCAAGACAAGCAACAATAATAAAACCTAACTGTGCCAGGACACAGGCATGATGTAATTTAAGCAATGGGAGGGACTTCTTCCCACTGGGGATTGTTTGGGCACAGAAGAGAGTCCTTCTCAAAGTGCCCCCTAGACCAGCCCTTTGGCAGAATGAAAGTCCCTGGGGAAGAAGGGTTTAGAGGAGGGGGAGACGTGGGTCAGCCTTCTTCCCTGGACTTGGCTGATGTTTTGCTTTGCAAATGATAACATGTTGGCGACAGTCAGGTCGCTGTTTAAATATCCAGCAAGGCAGTGACAGGAACACTAGCCATCCCGCGTTTCCCACTTCAGCTCCCTGTGCTGCATACTTCCGTGGAGGCTCAGTTCTCATTTCTGATAATGACGATTTCCCAGACAGAAGTGACAAAGCGCAGCCCAAGGAGGCCTGCTTCCTTCTCGTCTGCAAAATTCTCTGAATGTTTCTAGAAATCTGGTGAGGCTTTGCAGTGAGCGGGGCTAAAAATGAATAAAATCTGCAAGTAAGGTGGGAATCACTGCTTTGTCCAACACTAAGAAGTATGTTATGCCACACATGCACACTTCTTTTTTTGAATTCTGCTTCCAAATTTCTAGAAAGAACATATGCCTTCCTTGTGAACACAAGGCACCCCAAGATAAGACGACAGATAGAGCAAGGGATGGATATGGTCATTTCCTCAGTGATTGGAGAAAGCTACCGGCTCCAGGTGAGTGTTAGCCTGTCTGCATCCAGGACTGCAGCCACACAGAGAGGGGTTCGAGCACTTCATGTAGGGCCGAGTCCCTAGAGCTCAGCTGTAACTTAGCTGTGTCCAGACATAGATGTTTTCTATTGCTTCATAATCACTACCAATAAAATGAGCCGAGTTTGTAGCAACTTATTAGAAATGGGGTAATAATGAATGTCAGCTTGACCAAGCACTTCAAGGTCTGTAGATGTAATATGATTCAAATACATATGTTTGTTTTGAAAAAGTTAAGGCAATGGTTGAGCGTCAACCTATGAACCAGGAGGTCACTGTTCAATTCCCAGTCAGGGCACATGCCCGGGTTGCAGGCTTGATCCCCAGTAGGGGGCATGCAGGAGGCAGCCAATCAATGGTTCTCTCTCATCATTGATGTTTCTATCTCCCTCTCCCTTCCTCTCTGAAATCATTTTTAAAAAGTTAAGGCAACTGTTTAAAATTACCTGCCAGAATGAAAGAAAAATAAGAGGTGTGACATTTTGGACATTTGGGCAGTTGTTAGTAACATAGAATTCTAGGATATAACATTATCATTATATGCATGAAATTCATCAAATTTGTCTCTCTCTTTCAGTTTGATTTTCAAGAAGCAGTAAAGAATTTTTTCCCTCCGGGAAATGAGGTGGTTAATGGAGAAAATTTGAGCTTTGCCTATGAATTCAAAGCTGACGCATTATTTGATTTCTTCTATTGGTTTGGGCTCAGCAATTCCACTGTAAAGGTGAATGGAAAAGTTCTGAATTTGTCAAGTACAAGACCAGAAAAGAAGGAGACAATTAAATTATTTCTGGAAAAAATGAGTGAACCATTAATTCGAAGGAGCAGTTTCTCTGACCGAAAATTCAGTGTAACTTCTAGAGGTATGTTAAAAATTCTCATAGTTAAATAAAATGATAGAATAGTATAATGGGAGAGGAGAGTCAATGCCTGGAAAAGATAAGGCCTCTAGATAAAGGGAAAATACAATATATCACATTATTCAGAAAGTAAGAAGACATGTTTACTACCAAAAAGAAATATAGTGTTAGGCTCCTTAAAGTTTTCTGACATAGTAGTTATATTGTGCAGCACACCCAGAAAATAATTTTAAAATACATTATTAATTTAAATACATATTAATGCTCATTTGAATGTTGTTAACACTTATTTAAATATTATGAAAGAATGATGCTTTCCTGATGTGCATATTCTGGCAACAGATATGAACAAAGATGTCAGCTGGAGGAGGAGTCTACATGGTCAGTAGCCATCAATTTTACATCAATTAAAATAACTGGCCCTGGCTCCTGTGGCTCAGTTGACTGGAGCATTGTCCATCCATGTAACAAAAGGTTTCGGGTTCAGTTCCCGTCAAGGCACATACCAAGGTTATAGGTTCCGCATACATGAGGCAACTGATTGATGTTTCTCTCTCACAACGATGTTTCTCTCTCTCCCCCTCCTCCCTCTCTAAAATCAATAAACATATCCTTGGGTGAGGATTAAAAAAAATTGGAAGGGTTCTCCAGAGTTTGTGAGGTCACGGTGAACAAATGACATATTATATGTGGTACATTCTGGATTTTGATATCCAGAGCCTCTTTCCTAGGAGTTGAGGAGACTTGTCAGACTGGTGTGGCTGAGCAGGTGACACCGGCCACACCTTCTCTGAGTCAGTTCTCTCTGTCCTATGCTAGTTGGGCTATAAAGCAACTTCCTTGAGCCAGGACTTTTGCTGCTAATTCCAACAAACAACCAAAAACAAAACAAACAAAAAACTCCGCCAGTCTCTATGAACCTGCAGTTTCAAAAAGTTTGAATGTGAAATGCAGGTCTTCATTAATTGTATTTAATACAGTTGCTTTCTTCCAATGTTTTAGCAAAAATGCTTACTCTAGCTATTTCTTATTTTGGAAGTAGCCCATCTGTCTCTGTTTCTCTCTGTCTCTCCTTCTGCTTCCTCCTCCCCTCATTCCCTCTCTTCCCTCCCTCCCCCAGTATCTGTCTGTCCCTCCTCCTCCTCTCCTCCTTTCTCTCCTTCCTTACCCCCTCTCCCTCTCTCTCCTTCTCCCCATCTCTTTCCCACTCTCCTCTTTTACCCCTTCCTCCCCCTTTTCTCCCTCCCTCCCTCCACGTTGCTTTAGCTTTCTCTGTCTGGGTGTTCCTTGCAAAGATGCCTCTGTACTCTGCTCCTTTGCAGTAGTGTGTGTGTGTGTGTGTGTGTGTTGGGGAGTGTTACCCTGATCTCTTTTGGGGAAAGATGAGCTTTCCTGGTTGTGGCAGTCCGAGGTGCCTGGTCCTTCTTGTGACACCCCTCCAGCCTTACCCACTACCATAGCAGCCTGGGTAGGGTTTTACTGTTTCACCGTTGCTCACCCTCTGTCATGTAGGTTGTGCATGGTGTCCACTGCCATCCTGGGGACAACAGGGGTATGTGAAGTTGGGTGGTGCTTCCTTAAAATTCACTCTGAGCCATCCCCGGGCCACTTACACCTCAGAGCCATGGGGAAGGGTTCTTCAGGGCTGGCCAGCAAGGTCATGATCATGGCAGAGGGCAGAGCCAAGATGCACCAGTGGCCCAACCTTTGTCCTAGGCTGTCCCAACTTTGGGCCTTTTGGCATCAAGTGAGAAAAGGCTCATGCAACTCACTGCAAAACTACTCCGGCCCATGGAAAAGCAAATGACAACCCAGGTCCTACTGGGAAACAAAATGTAACCCATCTCTATTGCACTTTTCAGATTTCTGAGGAAGCCAGAATCCTCTCTTCAGTGTTGAAATGGTTCCTTCTGTGTTGTGTGAGTTCTGAGGGCACTGTGGGTTTGCTTCTGTTTTCCAGTGATGGCAATAATGCCTGCTTTACTTCTTTCAGGTTCAGTAGATGATGTTTTTAACTGCAGCCTGTCACCCAGATCATCTTTGACGGAGCCTCTTTTGGCAGAATTACCGTTTCCAAGTGTTCTGGAATCTGAAGAGACACCTAACCAATTTCTCTGATTGAACTGAACATGTCTAGTTCCTCCTACACTCCAGGCCAACTGAAGGTTGAGGGGAGGAGGGGGGAAGTGGGAGGCAGGCCCTCCACCCTCTGGTCCACCTCTCTGCTCCTCCGAGCGAGCGCTCCTCTCACATTTCCCTGGGTGCCGCCTTGCCCTGGCAGGTCCATGTAGCTGACTTCAGGATGGGAGGGCACTGGCCCCATGGTTGGGTATCCCCGCCTTTGAACACTTCTCCAAAGAGTCAGAGGGGCCAGCAGGGTCCTGCCACCCTGAGTGCTTTGTGTAGGACCTTGGCACCCAGGGAGTTTCTTTGGCAGTCTCTGTAGGACCAGTCTGACTTGGGCATTGACCATGATGCTTCTTAAGTCACGGTTTGGCCCTCTGCTTGGGACACCCTTGTCTGAACCCGAACTTAGCCAGCACGGCATTAGCTGTGCTGTTCTTTTGCAAACTTGGCTGGCACCTTTCACTGGAAGGCAGATGTGTTTCTCATCCTGCCTTAGGAGAACTATTCTAGGTAAGGTTTGCTGGCGATTAGCCAGGTTGGCAGGATGGCAGCCCTGCCACCTGCTGCCTAAAATTTGAACTCCTTTGGCCTCCCTCTTAACAAAGCGGCCGGTGTAGAAAGAGGCCAGGTGATGTGCAATGAAACAGTGACAGGGGAAGGATCATGATTACAGCAGTGTCCTCTTTCTACACAGAAATGATAGGAAAGCACATTATGTCAGTTGGGTATTATTATTATTATTTACTTTTTTATTGAATTTATGAGGGTGACATTGGTTAATAAAATGATATAGGTTTCAGGTGTACAATTCTAATATACATCATCTGTATATTGTATTGTGTGTTTACCACTCCAAATGAAGTCTCCTTCCATCACCATTTATCCTCCTAAAATAGTTGGGTATTTTAAATAAGCCTTTAGCAATCCTAACACTAAAAGCAAAATAAAAGCAAGCTATAACATTACCACAATACATTGTTACATCAATCCATTTCTCACCTATAGCTACAATGGAATTCTTCAAAAAGAAAAAAAAAATCCTATCTAGATATAAAAGCTGATTGAGTAAATCACTCCATATGCTTATAATGAGAAATACTTATGAATCCTGAGTATAATTTTTCTATCCTTGAAAAAAAGTCCTGGTATTTCAATAGCATTACCAATTATCTTTTTTTACATTTGAGATGTTACGTACTATCTTTGTGCAATTAAAACTTTCTTATAATTCAACATATAATTGATTAAATTTGTGACTGCGCACGCGCACACGCACGTGTGTGTGTGTGTGTGTGTGTGTGTGTGTGTGTATGTGATCTTTCCATTGTGCTTTGTATAGTTGCCTGGTATCTTATTAAATGACAAGGAGAATTGTGGTTTTCACAGCCACACTCCACACTCCAGAGCCTTTTGAAGAGCTGAGAGTTGCAGATTTGGAGAAAAGAAACAAAATTTGATATGATCTTCGTAATAGAAGAGGGTAAACAGTTGTTATTCAACTCAGTGCCAAATGAGTATTAACAATAAAATGAGTTTTATGCCAGGACAAACAAGCCTTGGGTAAATATCAAATATTAAATGCTTTCCACAGAAAAGAAAAACTTTTCACAAAAATTGACAAAGAAGATTTTTTGAGAGTAGCTGAGTTAAGAAAACCCATCAGTAATCACTCCAGGAACGAACTAAAAGTCTGGAAGTTTTCATTTATAAAAAACAAAAATTTGTCAACTGTGAACCAAATGCGTTAAGTCATTCAATATTCACTCAGCAAAATTTATTGACTTCCTGTAAGGAAATATATACTGTGCTAATGTATCCTATTAGCAAATGTCACAGAGAAGTGATATTGGGCAATCTTTAAAATCGGATCTTCCTGGATAAAAGTGGTCTCAATCTGAGTGGAAAATGGCCAAATTCAGCTATTTTAACAGTTTAAGATCAATCCTATATAATAAAAGGCCAGAGACTGTAACAGCGTAACGACCGGAATGACCAATCGACCAGTCGCTATGAGGTGCATTGACCACCTCTTAGTCCCTCCCCGCAGCCCACAGGCTCTGATTGCTGGATGGCCAACGGGGAACCATGGGGAGCCGGGGTGGGTGGTGGCGGGGCAGGGCTGGACTGAGGACTGGCGAGTGGGCAGAACGCTGACCTCTTGGTCCCTCCCCCAGCCCGCAGGCTCAGATCGATTGCCCAGCCAATGGGGAACCGGGGTGGGTGGAGGCGGCAGGGTGGGACTGGGGACTGGCGAGCTGGTGGAAGATGGCCCTGATCACAGGCTAGGCCTAGGGACCCTACCCGTGCATGATTTTTTGTGCTGGGCCTCTAGTAGAAATATAAAGGACAAGAGTGACCTAAGCAATTCATCCATTCATTTCATTAGTTCACTCATTCATTCAACACATATTATTGAACACCTACTATGTGCAGTTCACCAAGGTAGATGCTGGCATATAAAGGTACCTAAAGCATGGCCTGAGCTTTCAAGGAGCTTCCAGTCTTGTAAGAGAAGACAGGTGTACTAGCTATTAAGAACAATAAAATGAGTGCTATGAGAGAAGTTCAAAATGGAAAACATCTACAATGCTTATGATCCAGTTTTGGAGATAAAATTGATGATGTATAACTGTAAAATTTAGTTTTAAAACAAATCTACAAGGGTTGATTTATTAAAACGTCTGATTTAGCTAAGCTCTCAGTGAAAGATTCACCTTGGAGGCTATTAATTTATTCCAACAAGAATGCAAATCTGAACATTATCTACAGAATGAGGGAGTGTTCTTCTCATTACCTCAGGGTGAAAGTTTGATTTTTGGCTGAAGGATAATATTGCCCAATGTGATTGTCTACTTTAATCATCAGCTCATCTGTCTTTACTGTTTCAAATACTCTATCATCAAAGAGCAAAGTTATATTTCTCCTTAAGAAATTCAAGCCCTAGCTGGTTTGTCTCAGTGTTTAGAGCCTTGGCCTGTGGACTGAAGGGCCCCCAGTTCGAGTCCTGTTAAGGGCACATGCCTGGGTTGCAGGCTCGATCCTCAATAGGGGGTGTGCAGGAGGCAGTCGATCAATGATTCTCTCTCATCATTGATGTTTCTACCTCTCTCCCACTCCCTTCCTTTCTGAAATCAATAAAAATACATTTAAAAAAGTAATTGAAAAGAATGCACATCCATTTCTAAAGGGAATCTATAAAGAATTATTCTTTAAGTAATGGCAATGTCATTAGAATAAATTATTACTTTTGAAGAAGAGTGCATTCATTTAGATGGATAAATGTTGGTATAACTGATTTAAAATGAGTGTTCACACTTGATATTCACCACTTGTATAAACTTTTTAAAAAATTGAATTTATTGGGGTGACACTGGTTCACAAAACCATACAGGTTTCAGGTGTACAACTCAATAAAACATCATCTGTACACTGTATTGTGTGCCCACTGCCTCAAGCAAAGTCTCCTTCAGTCCCCATTTCCACTCCCTTTACCCACCTCAATCATCCACCCACCTCCCTTTTCCTCTGGCTATCACCATAATACCATTGTCTATGTCCATATGCTATGTACATATATATATTTTGCTAATCCATTCACTTTCTTCATTCAGTTCCCCTCTCCCTCCTCCCTTCTGACAGCTGTCAGTCTGTTCCATATACCCATGCCTCTGTTTCTATTTTGTCAGTTTATTTTGTTTCATTCGATTCATATATAAGTAAGACCATATGGTATTTGTCTTTCTCTGACTGACTTATTTCACTTAGCATAACAATCTCCATATTCATCCATGCTATGGCAAAAGGTAATATTTCCCTTTTTATGGATACACTAGAGGCCTGGTGCATGGTCTCACAATCTGGGACCCCTCGGGGGATGTCAGACTGCTAGTTTTGACCTGATCCCCGCAGGCCAGGCCAAGGGACCCCATGCACCAGGCCTCTAGTATGCATATAAGCTATTTGGTTAATCTCTTCCCCCACTCTCCCCTTCTCTCTGAGATTCATCAGTCTGTTCCATGTTTCCATGCTTGTGTGTTGAGCATCTGCCCCCTGGTGGTCAGTGTGTGTCATAGCTACCTGTCGAATGGTCACTTAGGCTTTTATATGTATAGACTAGAGGCCTGGTGCAGAAATTTGTGCAGGAGTGTGGTCCCTAGACCTGGCCAGTGATCAAAGCATGAGCGTTTGGCATGGAAGGAAAGGTCCCAGTTGACCTCTGGGCCCTGGGCAGTACCTGGGCCCCCGGGCCCCTGCGTGCCTCCCTCCGCCTGAGTCACGGCACCTGAGTCCCCATGAGGAGAAGCAGTGAGCGTGGCCAGACGCCATAGGCTGGGGTGCAGTGTGGGCTTCTGGGCGGCCCAGCGGTGCTGTACGGAAGCCAGGTGGGCAGCGTGCTCTCTCCTGGCTGGCCTCGCAGACCGGCTCCTGCACGAACCCACGGGGAGCCTGGCCGACCTTTGTGGTCCCATTGGCTGAAGGCTCCTCGCAGGTGCTCGGCACCTGAGCGCGGGGGCTTCCCTGGTGCATGAGCCCTGGTGTCCCAGGGGAGGGTAGCTGGAGGAGTGAGAGTGAGCTTGGCAGATACCCCGCATTCTCACCACACCTCCATCCCCATCACCCCCAACCCCAGGTAGCCGGTGAGAGGTCGCAGTATGCTGCCAATGCTCCCCATGTTCTGCTTTACACCCTGGTGGTCAGCGCATGTCATAGCGAACAGTCGAACTCCTGGTTGAACTCCCGGTCAAGGGGACAATTTGCATATTAGGCTTTTATTATATACTAGAGGCCCGGTGCACAAAAATTTGTGCACTCGGGGAGCAGGGGGGTCCCCCAGACCGGCCTGTGCCCTCTCACAGTCTGGGTGGCTTAGGCCTCCCGGGTGGCAGAGGGCACGCCCAATCCCTAGGTGCAGCCCCTGGTCAGGCTCAGAGCAGGGCCGATTGGGGAGTTGGTGGGG